TGAAATTGTACTCAAATTGTCACCAACACATTGACAGGTGGACATTTACACCTGCCTTGGTCATTTACTATTGTCTAGTAATATATACAAAGTATTTATAGGTCCCAGCAATGTTTTCGATACATGGGAGTATAGAAGAAGGGAGGAGAGGAGGAGGAAGAAGGAAGAAATTCCCTTGAAGCAATGTACAAGACAAGTGTTCAGTGACAAGTATCCGGGAGGGCAGTGATAAGATCAGATATGAGATGACATTTGATGGGCTCCAGCGAGGATGCAGAGATAAGGGATGACATTTGATGAGCTCATATCTCTGATTATTTGTCTGTCTTATTTCTCTGTCTGCTTGTCTCTTTCCATCTCTCTGCTTGTCTCTCTGTCTGTCTCAGAGAGCCACTGTGAACCAACAGGTATTCTTATGCATTATATCTACAAGCACAGTATAGCACTTCGGATTTTTTAGGTTATCCTAGGTAATTTACACTATGTATAATTGTATTTGTGTGTACCTGTGAGAAAGATAGACAGAGACAGATAGACAGAGACAAATAGACAGACAGACAGAGATAGAAATAGACAGAGACAGATAGGCAGACCCTAAACTTGCAGTTAACATCAGTTTCCTCTTAAAAGGGGAGTGTTAGTATGACATTACATCAGTGAATCCTTGGTGTTTGCCACACTGTTTGCTCCAGCTGCTGCTCTGTATAACTGGCGCTCCCACAAGGTACTAAGTGGTCCCAGATTTTTTTTTAATATGGTGCACACCGAGTGTTAAGACCCATTCTATGCTGACCAGGCATCTCAGGCCAATTGTGCCAAATTTGGAGGCAGAAAAAATAAAACGTATATTTACGTTTGGGGCACTAGCGGTAGGAACGTATATACACGTTTGGACCTTTTACGGGTTAAACACTGTGTGTAATTTATAAATAAGAAATATTTACATTTTAATTTATAAATAAGAAACATTTACATTTTATAAATAAGAAATATTTACATTTTAATAAGTTAGTTAGTTTATTTAGATATACACAATACAGTTACGTACATAGACTATCATACATAGCAGCATATGTGTAAAGTACCGAGGATAACCCAAAAAAGTCAGAGTGACTTACGTATTTCCATTTGGGCCCTTTTATATTTACACATTTACTTTTATACTTACGCTTTTATATTTACACTTACCTTAGAGGAGATGTTAGTTTAATTAGTTTGATGGAGGAAATGCTGGCAGAGATTTAGGGCGGTGGAAGATAGCAAGCCGGCGAATGTTCATTGGCCCGAAACACATCCAACAACATTGGAGAGTTACTTTCGTGTCGTTTGTCTATCGCTTATTCGCTTTACTTGCTACACTGTTAATTCTACGCTCTATCGTTGGCTGGCACAATAGCCTTTATCGATACCTGCTGCTTTAGTATCGTACATATCGTAGAATCACTGAATCACTGCAGAAGGCACATTCTTCCCTCTCTCTTCCTCCTCCACTTTGGTACTTTGCTACAAGTTTTTTCTTGAATTCTATTGTGCTTCTTTCCTTCTTTACCACAGGGCTGACACGCGAAGCTTTCTTTGGGCCCATGGTGGCTTATTTAGCAGTTACAAGCACTATGAACGATGGAATAATACAAAATATATCCCATGTACGCGTAGAATCCTACTTCCTAGCTTGTAAACAATGGCACACTGGCTTTACATGGGCTCAGGCCACGTGGACACGTTCGAGATGAATGTCCTTAACCGAGTTCTTGGGCATTAGCCGAGCCAATATTTTGACGCAAGAGCGTGCCGCTATCTGATTTTGGTGTTAGCCGATGCCGCCGTTATCGAGGGTCCACTGTATACAGTGGACCCCCGCATAACGATCACCTCCGAATGCGACCAATTATGTAAATGTATTTATGCAAGTGCATTTGCACGTGTATGTTTGGGGGTCTGAAATGGACTAATCTACTTCACAATATTCCTTATGGGAACAAATTCGGTCAGTACTGGCACCTGAACATACTTCTGGAGCGAAAAAATATCGTTAACCGGGGGTCCACTGTATATTGTTTTTGATATGGTGACATTTCGTATCAGATCATCACTGTTAGTGAAGATGAGGTCCAGTGTATTCTCCAATCTTGTAGGCTCTATTATTTGTTGGTCCAAGGTGAATTTGGTGCAGAGATTTAAAAGCTCGTGTGTGTGTGTTTTCATCTGAGCTGCCTCCTGGTGTTATCTCTGCAACAACATTATTTGCTATATTCCTCCATTTTAGGTGCCTTAAGTTGAAATCCCCCAGAAGCAAGATGTTGGGGCAGGAGCCGGAAGATTTTCCAGACAGTTGTCAATTTTCAAAAGCTGTTCCTGGAATTGTTGGGACATTGCATCTGGAAGCTTGTATACAACTACAATGACCAAATTTTGGTTCTCGATCTTTACTGCTAAAACTTCAACTACATCATTTGAGGAATTTAGTAGTTCTGAGCATATAAGTGACTCTGGTATACAGGCCAAACCCCCCCGCCCCCCATCCCCTTTTGCCTGTTCACTCTGTTGCACCTGTATAGGCTGTAACCCGGGATCCATATTTCATTGTCCAAGTGATCCTTTAAGTGTAACCAAACAGATTCAGTGGCTGACGCTTCTAATTTTATATCTTGTCTAACAACAATTTAAATTGTCTCTGACACATCGCTTCTCCACCACCCTTCCTATTGGCCCTATCAGTGTGGAATAATTTAAAGCCTTGTATGTGGCATTCAGAAGGCATTTCTCTATCTTTCAGATTGAGCCAGGTCTCTGTCATAGCAATAATATCTATGCTTCCTGCACTTGCAATTAATCTTACCTCATCTATCTTATTTCTTACACTCCTGTTATTAGTAAACCTTAAGGGAGCTAGTCTCTTGCTGCCCTCTGCTGTCTTCCTTTGTTAGCTGACCTGATCCACTGTCTTTATTTGTAACTTTATGATGAATAATGTCTTTTAAACATTTACTGTTTTCAACCCAAGTGCTACAACCTGAGTGTTCCCCACACACACCCATACTTCAAGAAACTCTACACCAACGCACTTTTTGAAAGGTGCTTTGAAGTCACTTCAGAAACAAATTTAACCCTCAGGGAGTTCTGAAAGGACCATTTCAATATCCTCATTTGCTTGAGGCTTAATGACAAAGCCTGGGGGTAATGTGTCTTCCAGGACCATGCAGACAGCATAGAAGAAATTGTGGCTTGACTTCTTGGAAGTCAGGGATTTTAAAGGTTTTAAAGATGATCCTGAGCTGCTAGAGGATATCGTGTCCCTGGGTAAGACCTTAGGCCTAGAGGTGACTGAAAATGATGTGGAGGAGTTGGTGGAGGAGCAAAGAACTGAACTCACCACAGAAGAACCTCTAAACCTTCAAAAGGAGCAGAAACAGACTGCAGCAGAGGAGCCATCATCAAAGGAAGAGAAGGGTAAGATTTTTTAACCCCGGAGGGTTAGCCATCCAGGATAACCCAAGAAAGTCAGTGTGTCATCGAGGACTATTTAACTTATTTCCACTGGGGTCCTCAATCTTGTCCCCCAGGATACGACCCACACCAGTCGACTAACACCCAGGTACCTATTTGCTGCTAGGTGAACAGGACAACAGGTGTAAGGAAACGCGTCAAAATGTTTCCACCCACCAGGAATCGAAGCCGGTCCCTCCGTGTGTGAAGCAGGAGCTTCAGCCACCAGGCCAAGGATGATGTACCCACTGCACTTAAGGCAATGTGTGTGCTAAATGGCATAAAGTGCAGGAGTTTACTGAAAAATACCATCCAGACAAAGCAGTGGTCATCAGTCTCTCTTAACATGTACAATGACAGTGTAACTATCTCAATTTAGACAAGTGTTAAAACGGAACCTGAAACAAACCTCACTGGACAGGTTTTCAGCGAGATAAAGAACCAGTGAGCCAGAACAGTGTTAGCGGTGAAGAGAGACAAAGAAGGGAAACATTAGTTCTCCTCTGAGAGGTAAGGGGCAGTTAAATTTTCATTTACTGTACAGTGTTTCAGTTAAATTTTCATTTAGTATTCACTTTTACAGTTTGTCTATGCTGTATAATTTTGCACAGCACAGGGAAATAGATTAATTTTATTTACATTATTCTTATTAGGAAAAATTTCTTTGGTTGTCGTTGATTTTTGCTGCCGAATCGACATCTGGACTGCATTAAACTTGAAAACCGAGGTTCACTGTATTATTAATTAATATTTATATACACACAGATGTGCACCGTTCAGTGTCTATATCCTCCAATTCCTTGAATCAAGAGCCTCTGGCACAAGGAATGCCAGTAATTTCATCAACAGGTTGATCAAGAGAAGTCTCCGATATTTCCCCCCCTCCCACCTCCACCACCACCTCCCCCACCCCCTCCCCACCACCACCCCCTCCCCACCTCCACCACCCCTCCCCACCTCCACCACCACCCTCCCACCCTCCACCTCCACCACCCCTCCCCACCAAGACCCTCAAAATGTTGGTTTATAACAAGACAAAATTCATTTCCTTCATAAATCAATATAATCATAAATTTGAACTAAAACATTAATAAGACGAGGTTTCCGGACCACAATTATATGATGCTGCAATAAGTTTTATTGCAGTGAAGTATGTAGTTTAAGAGGCAGTATATATATATTTATACAATCAACACTTAACTCACACAATGATGGTAAATTATAATTAATCTGACCCTAAGAGTCAGACATTACAACGATCAATAATTATTAGATCAAAGTCTTTAATAAAAACTTGAAATTTACAACGCATCATTTCTTGAACAACCTGTTAAATGTTAGATATATATTACTAGTTGTGGAGGCACAAGGATACAGAATATTCCTCAAAGATATATTTTGTAACCCTGTTACGTTACTTATGGTCCACCACAACCTTCCTCCCTCCACAGTTTGACTTCTTATGTCACAAACATCAAGATCTACGATACCAGCCGGTGAGTATGGATTCTTACCAAGAGTCTTTAATTAAGGATTCCAAGGAATAGAACAGAATTTAAAGAACACACGATCTGCTTCACGTCTCTACCGCCGCCATCATTACCAGGCTCAACACACACACTCGTACTCTTAACTCAATAATATATGTCCATAATAACATATATATATATATAAATATATATATATATATATATATATATATATTATATATATATATATTATATATATATTATATATATATATATATATGTGTAACAATTGCATTAGATTTTACTAAAAAGTTAATAAAAACCAATAAGCTATGACTGATGCAAAAAAAAAAAATTGCTTTTACATAGCATTATTTTATTTTTTCCATAGCTTAAATTATGTTACTTCAATTTATTTCCATTATTATACAATAATTTATTTATTATAATTCAATAACTGGTTAAGGCAAAGATACTTTGATATCTTCTCATAACCTTGAGAGTACCACCAACCTGACACTAGAAATGCGTTCATAAACTCGAACATTTTCTTAAAACATTATCAGAAAAATAATGTTAGGCCTATATAACTTTGACATAAAGTTTTGTAAAGGGCATTTAAAAACCCCGTCAACTAATAAAGGGCAAATTCCAAGTCATTAATGTAAAAAAAAAAAAAAAATTGTGAGTGAATATGTTATATAAAAAATGATCCTGGCTGAAGGAGACTCAAACCTACAAAACCTTGGAAAAAGGGTACGCAGTGCTTTACCAAGCACCCAACAGGACCAATACCTTGGAGTCCAGCTTGCCTAGACTTTGACCAAGGCACCCAGCTTTGGGGAGAAGGTTACAGCATTTCATCCACCCCTGCAGCATCACCCTTTACTAGAGTTTTTAACATGAAGGGAAATTCGCAAGAGCAGGCGAAAAGCTGTAACCCTTCTCCCTGAAAGCTGGCTTTTGGATCAAAGTCTAGCGCAAGCGGGGACTCCAAGGTATTGCCCCATTGTGGGAAATTGGGGAAAGCACTGCGTATTTGTTCCAAGGTTCGTAGTTCGACTCCTTCAGCCAGTCATTTTTATATATATTTCGCCGCTTTGCAAATTTCCCTTCTGTTATATATATTATATAATAAAATTAATAATATAAAAATATATATATATATATATATATAATATATATATAATATAAATATAATATTATATTATAAAAATGTCGTGCCGAATAGTAAAACTGGTCAATTAGCAAGAACTCATTTAAAATTAAGTTTTTTCCGAATTTTTCTTTTACTTTTTAAAAAAATTTTTTTTTTCATTAATGTTATGTAAAAATTAAAAATTTTTTTGCCCCAAAAAAGAATTTTAGAAAATTTTCCCTAATTTTATTAAAACAAGAACAATTTATTTAAGCCTACCCCCAACTAAATTTTTTTTAGATTTTGTTTACAATAAAAAATACTAAACAAACACAATAAATATATTTTTTTTCGTTAGGTTCAAAGTTTTTTGGCAACGCTCATCTTCCCATATGCTGTATGTCCTTTTTGGGCTTAGCGTTCTTTTTGATTATAATAATAAAAAAAATCATCTGCCATAAAACAAGTAAAATTTTGTATGCAATAATTCTCCCCTTGAGTTTACCTGGAGTTTACCGGAAAGGGGTTTTCCGGGGTCAACCCCCCCACCAGGCCTCCTGGTGGATCAGAGCCCTGATCAACCGGTGTTTGCGGGCCTGAAAACGAAAACCCAACGTACGAGCCACAGCCCGGGATCCGGAACTGACTTTGGGGTGCTTGCCCAGTCCCAGCTTGAAGACTGCCGGGGTCTGTTGGTAATCCCCCTTTGTGTGCGGGAGGCAGTTGAACAGTTTTCGGCCCCCGAACTTTTGTATGGTCTCTTAAAAGGCTAGTGACACCCTGCTTTTTCATTGGGGATGTTGCTCTCTGCCAAATCTTTTTCTTTCGTGGAGTGATTCCGTGTGCAAATTCGGTTCTGTCCCTCTGATTTTCCAGGTGTAATAAAAAGTATTCTCCCTCCCGATTCCAGGGGAAAACAGGTTTGGAACCTCAAAGGGTCCCAATAATTGAGGGTTTTATCTCCCTTATCGCGCCGTGAAAGTTCTCTGTACATTTTTAGGTCGGCAATTTCCCCTGCCTTTAAAAGGTGCTGTTAGTGTGGCAAAATTTCCCGCCCAGATAGAACAAGTGCCTGATGGTGTCATCATGGGCTTTCCTCCCAGTTTTTTAAAGGTTCTCATTTCCACCTGTCATTTTTTTAGAGATGCGATTATACAATGTTATGGGGTTTTAAGTGAATCCTCCGACATGATCACTCCCCGGGCCCTTTTACGTTGGGTTTCGCCCCTATTTTTGTGGCCAGAAATTTTTTTGTACTCGATGAAGATTTATTTCCCATTTTTTCCCTCTGAGTAATTGAAATTTTCATCGTTTTAAACCATATTGGGCTTAGCGCTTTTTTTTGATTATAAAATAATAATGCAAACCCACTGAAAGATTTGGTTGATGTCCCCCCGGAGCTTTGCAGTGTCTCAATGGAAGACACTGTCATGAGATTTGGGGGTCATCTGCAAAAGGAAAACCGGTCTGTGGCTGACCCTTGTCTATGCGGGTATGGGTAGGAACAAGATGGGGCGGTACTGACCCCTTTTGGGAAAAGAGTTTTTCCCCTAGCTGCCTCGGGGCTTTACTCTTTTGACGATACCTCGGTTCGTTATGAGGAAATTTTAGTCCACGACCGATTTTCCTGTTTTTCCTTTAGCACGCATTTTGTGCGCTATTACCCATGGTCACACTTTTCGAGGCTTTTGCAAAATCTGAAAATTTAAACTGCATTTTTTTTGTTTTTTCTAGGCTTTGGGCCTTGTTTGTAGTGATCCCAAAATTGAGACAGAAGGGGCGACCTGTTCTAAAAACCCCTGTTGCCCCCGGGTTTTGTAACTGATGGTTTCTAGAGGGGGTGACTTGTTTTTAGGACCCTTTCAAAGTTTTTTATGATAGGGGATGTTAGTGCTATTGGTCTGTAGTTCTTTGCTGTTCTTTCTGCCCCCTTTGTGGGGGGGCTATGTCTTTGTTTTTAGTAACTGGGGGACGCCCCCCGTGTCCTGCTCCCTCTCCATGGGTGGAAAAAGGCTCGTGATGGGGGTTTTCTGCTTTTTGATGAACCGGGTTTCCCATGAGCGGGCCCCTGGGGCAGAGTGCATGGGCATGTCTTTTTATCGACTGTTCGAAGTCATTTGGCTCGGGATAAATCGGATGGGCTTGTGTTAATAAAATTTTGTGGCTCTCTCACAAAAAATTCATTTTGATTTCGACGGAGAGGTAAACTCCGGCGGGGAATTATTGCATACACAAATTTTCACTTGTCTTAGGCAAGATGACGTTGTATTTAAGAAAAGATCGCAAGTTCTCCCTATTCGGCACGACAATAAAAAATTTAAATATATATATTATAATATATTAATATATAATTTTATATATTTAATATTATATAAATATATAATATATTATATCACTTGTAGTTTAATAAAGATATTGTATATATATATATATATAATATAATTTTAAATAATTTTTATATTTATTATTAATATATATATAATATATTCGTCCGAATAGCGAACTTCGATCGGGTTTAAAATAGCAACGTCTCTTGCCATATAGGACAATGAAAATTTGTGTATGCAATAATTTCCCCAAAAATCATTTTGAACCAAACGAAAAATTTAATTTTCACTGTTTTGTTAGATTAAATTATTAAAAAAAATCAAAATTATTTTGTTGGGTTAGGCTAAAATAAATTGATCGTTATAATAAGGTTAGGAAATTTTTCTAAGATTCTTCGGTGCAAAATTAAAATTTTTACTTAACTTTTAATGAAAAAAATATATCTTTAAACGAAAAGAGAAAATTCAGAAAGGACTTAATTTCAAATGAGTTCTTGCTAATTGACCAGTTTTACATATTCGGCACGACTAAAATTTTATGCCCGTGCCAATAGGCAGAACTTGCGATCTTGGTTTAAATAGCAACGCTCATTTTGCCAATAGGACAGGAAAATTTGTGTATGCAAAATTTCGCCAAAATCATTCTGAAGCTAACAAAAAAAATATATTTCACTGTGTTTGTTTAGTTTTAATTTTTGAAAACAAATCTAAAAATATATTTAGGGGTTAGGTTTAAATAAATTGTTCTTTTATAATAAGGTTGGGTAATTTTCTAAATATTTTTGGGAGCAAATTAAAAATTTTTTACATTAACATTAATGAAAAAAATATATTTTAAAAACGATAAGAGAAAATTTTAGAAGGGACTTAATTTTAAATGGTTCTTGCAAATTTGCCTTTTACATATTGGGCACGCATAAAATATATATATTTATTTATATATTTTATAAAATATATTTATATAATTTTAAATTTAAATATATATAATATTTTTTCCCTCAATACAATACAAGGTTACAGTCCTAGATACATCAAAACCCCAGCACTTTCCTGAACACGCTCAAAGCCCTTCAGTTCTTAACTAAAAACATCAGGTCCTTAAGCAAACACTATGATGACCCCCGGGCCTCCTTGAACACTAAAACACCCTTTCCCATTATTCTACTGAGACTGGGTTTAAACAGGACACAATTGTATCTACCCCTACCAGGGTACACAGCAATCCACAACTACAGACCATACCCAAATTTGGGGGTGGTACTGCAATTATTACCTAACCAATACTTTTATTAGCACTAATTGCTTTATGATGAATATGGGGAATACATTTTTGCTAATTTTTCGTAAAAAAAACCAAGATGCCTATAAAAATGGGGGCCCTTTACCGGATACAACCCCACAAATATCCCCAAACTTCAATGAGAATCTAAAGTCACTAATAACAAACAGACAAATGAACAAGCACCACCTTCTCTTAGCTGGAGACTTCAATATCAACCTTGGCCTACCAGATGATCAGACTGTAACTGATTTCATCAACAATATGAACAACACACTTCTCATACCAACAATAACTAAACCAACCAGGCTGACTGAGACAAGTGCAACCGTAACAGACCACATGTGGACCAATATACTAGCCCCCCTTAAATCAGGGATAATCACAGATAGCACTACTGACCACTACCCAACCTTCCTCT